GGCTGAAATAAATAAGCCCCCCGGGGGGCTAAATAGAGGATTTACGGTAAGTAATCCTTTTTAATTTATAGGAGTGTATTTCACGTCTATGGACCCATCCTACGACCCTGAGTCCATCTTGCGCAATAACTTTGGTAATGCTGCACGGATGGTTTCTAGCCCCAAATTCCAAGAGATAAAGTTATGAAGGTGGTTGATGTACAGCGGCCAAACCTTGACGTATACTTACACGCCGGTGACGTGGATCTTAAACTATACCRGTATCGAATCTACCAGAACCCGACAATGATACAACAAGTCAATCCATGTCCCATTCAGTGTGGGCCTCCAAATCTCAGCCAGCCAGTTTGCCATCCCCTATCCTGTACCTCTTTGTTCCACAACTGAAATGACAATTGCAGGGGTCTTAAAACAGAGAAAATCTAAAACTTTTATAAAATAATGAGAACATTACTGTAATTCCGCATAGAAGTCACTCAGTACTAGTTAATGGCTAATGCGCTTTCATTTTATAACTTAACATACCAAAGCAAGGTTGTTGTAAGTGTTATTATTCTACTGACGATTTATATTAAAGGTCATTCTATTGTTCCAAACCGTATGCTTTTATCGATAAAATCGGTTAGAGTTCCAAAATAACTATCAGAGCATGCTCTTCAGTGTTATATACATATCACCATGAATGGGAGCGTTCATAATTCATGGGATGGGGGGACTATGAGTTTTTACGAATTGGAATAGTATTTTTGGAATCCGCCTTAATGACTCAAACATGTCAAGAAAAATGGCTGGACGCTTCCAAATTCTCATAGTCCCCCCCCCTTCCCCCCTAATGTTTTAGCACTCCCTAAGCTCATATATTATTCTGACGGGAATCCGCACACCAATTCCCAAGCACAGTGGGAATAAGAAATATTTATATATATTTATATTAGTAGTATTTATATATGAATATTTGAGTCTGTTTTATCCCTACAACAACTGGGGTTGACAAAGATCAATGTTAGAGCTTCTTCTTTTTCTAATTTTCATCAATGACATGCCTAATGCAATCTCTAAGCAAACGTATTTTCCACTGATTGTTTTCGCTTAGTTTTCGGTCAGGAAGATGGTGTGGATGGTGACAAGCCACAGGATGAATTGAATGAACGATATGAATAGAGAAGCTAGGRCCCTAAAATGGGAAGAATAGACACGGTAATAGACGCCACSAGAATGCGATATCAAAGCTGAGACCATAACTGTAGAGTGGTGAGAGTTGTGGTTTCAGACTTTGCACGCGCGCTGATTTTATAAATAAGATTAAAAATTCATGAATAATTAATGAGCAAATCCATCACGTGCATGGACCTTTATACCTGATAATAGTTCAATATGG